AACTGGGGGATGAAAGGCGTAATGTTATGTATGTTATGTTATTAGCGAGATATACCGATGATAAATGAGAGTTGGTAGAATATTAAATATAGGACGTGTAAGTACTTTGAACTCAACTCACTTTTTGTCACTTCATTCTGTTCTTAGTTTATTTAGAGTGACCAACGCTACATAATCCATGCCCTGTGCGATTACCAATAAGTATAATATATTACAGCATTATATTTGATAGTGTATTAAATTTAAGTCTTAGACAGTATAGGGGCAGAGAACCTAACGGGTTACCGGGGCTCCGGCTCGACGTGTAGGAGAAGGAACGGGTGGTTTTTAGTCAGTAAGAGTCTGACACTCCCTCCCGCCTCACCCAGGCGGGAGCAGTCATTCGATGATTTTCCGCCCTTAAAAAAGGCAGTATAGGTCTGAAATACCAGGCAATTAAAATATAAACCAAAATCAATTTAAACATATCACTTTTTTCTTTCGACAGGCGTTAACAACGGTTTTTTTTAAATAAAGTACAGTCAAGGACGAAATACAAAGCGTTTGTTTTTGCATCACCACAATCATCGGCACTTAGAATATCATTTATCTGATCCACGATCCAATAAATAAGGATGATCGTGATTTCCTGACCACATACTTGAATACACGGGTCCACGTCAGGCTATGCAAACCAATGTAAACTGACCGTTGAACGTATTGAAAGATCATACAAAGCGGAGATCAGGATAATTTAGTCTTGTATTATGTGATGTGTAGCCATATTTTCATTAAATAAGAATACTGGTAAACAGAACTAAAACTTTGGGTTTATTTGCATTTGCAAAAAGACTGAAGTTAATCTTTGGTTGAGGCAAAAAATTGGAATTTTCCGATTTTTTCGAAAATTCTCGCTATTAAATAGTTAGTACTAAGTTTCAAATTGAAGCCTGGTATATATAGCAACAGATTTCTATTACGAGAACTGTAAGATTCTGTAGTATCATGACGAACGAAAGAAGACAATGTCCTTCTCAATGGATTCTGGAGAAAAGAATCACAAGAATCCGAGCGTAAATCTTTAACAGTTACAAGGAATGAGGATACATAGTTTCCAAGTAATGTCTTCTGTACCGCAACAAGAGAACAATCTTGTATTTTTTTCAAAGAATTGTACCATTATTCTATTACCAGACAATCATCTTGACGATCCACAATATGTGATGACGTTCAAACATTTGTCCCGATGTTTGTCTTCACGAAATACTATTGTTTCTTCTTGTTTACAAAACATGGCGTGCCAAGATGGCCGCGAGTGACGTAACTCCGTGACGTCACATTCCCCGTACGCTTACGTGTTTTGAAAGTGGCGCGTGCGCAACTGAAAGATAAATGTACCCTATATTTAGTTTTGAAAAAATACTGCGACTGTAAATTGATTCATTATCAGAAACTGTGACTAATGTCAAGTCTAAGAATTAAATATGAACACGATGGATTTTTGAAGTTTATTTTTAAGTGTTTTTCCTTAATGATTTATTTTTGTTTGAACATTTTTCAGTGACGTTTGACATTGGTATGAGTTGTAAATCATGTTATTCATAATGAAACTTCGTTGATTAATATAGGGTTCCGTTTTATACATTATGTAGTATAAAACCAATATGAATAAATATCGAATGTACTTCATATACGAAACTCACTTCAACTGTGACTATAATATCCCCTCCCCAGCTTCCTCCAAAAAACCGGCAACTCACTAGCAAATCCTCTGGTCTTGCGTTATGGTAAGTCATCTGCACCACTCATGGACATCCCCATGAATGGCGCTAACAAGTTAACAACTTACCATCAGCTGATCTGTATGCTCATATGGCTCCCTTAGAAAGTCAAAATAATATCATAATCCATTTAACAAAAGAACAGCTAACTCTGTACACAAACCCATTGTTTAATCAACACCTCTTAATAAAGACAAGCTGCCAATATCGTATTAGGAAATCCCCATTAAAATATCCCCTATCTATACAAATGCCCGTCCGAAGATTGGTATCGCCCAAATAATGCTATCACCGCTCGGCAGCTGGGTGTCATAACACTTTTGTTCAGTCTAAAGGTGTTTACAGACAAAAGTTTTGTGGTCATATCAAACTGTATCATCTTTTTATCCGTTTTGTTAACGAATCGTACTAAACTTTGAGGTTATTGTTAAGTATCGGCGAGCGAAGAAGTGTTAGAAATTTTTGTTTTTTTTTTGTTTTGTATAAGTGGCTTGGTTAGAACTTTTTGGAATAAGGAAGTAGTTATTATTGCTATCAGAGTTTTAGGCTTCATATTTTGAAAATCTTGGTTATATCAAGTAGTTTAGATTTCAGAGTAGGTCTCAGTCAGAAATTTCGGATCCCCTGGCCCCTGAAAAGTCTATCCGCAGATTCTGTGGTTATACATATATGTACGTACATATTATCAGTTCGTCACGCTATTTTCAATTGGGGTAGACAGAGACAATAGAATGCCAAATGTGATGTTTGTTATACTTCAACTTTACCGCTATCTTCACAATTTAACATCTTTTAACAATGAACTTTATCCAAAATGTATACAAATATTAGAGTGGCAATTTAGATTTTGACATTTAATTTAAAAAGTTGTGCAATGTTGGATATTTTGAATAATATCTTATCTTTTATAGTTATCAGATATTAATGATAATATTATAATAATTGGTTTCCATGTTTATATTTACATCAAAACAAGATGTTACTAAAAAACTGGTGTTTAAATCAATCGAATTTGATACCAGATTTTACTACATGATCTTGGAAAAAATGTCGTTTCAAGTTAATTTTTGAAACTTAATCTTTCAACCGAACCTAATAACTATAGGTTAGCAATTACATCCTAATTGACTACAGCCAGTCTTTATGAACAAATATACACAACAATATATTTTAAAGATTATTAAGAAGGAAATTACAGAACATTTTCAACACAACTGTACCAAAATATTTTCCATTATAAATCTCACATGATTTGCAACACTCCAGATCAAGCAACGGCTACATAATAGATTGTCAATAATAAAGCCATTAAAAAACTTTTTATAACGAAATAATAACTTAATTTAACGAATTAATAAGGCAATAATTATTATATTAAAAGTTAACAAGATCTTATGTAACTGATAATAGTTTTATTATAAGTTAAATTCTGAACAGATGTGTTTTGAAAATATGTTTATTATTGAGTAGGTATGGCAATGAGCACCTTGTGTTTTATCATGGGTAGGAACTAAATTATATGAGTATTAATAATAAATTCCAAGATAGTAGTTAGTCTAATGTTTTTGATGTAATGTAATTGAGGTCTTGTGGTTGGTATCTTAAAATGTATACTTAGCTATTGAATTCATTAAAAATTATGAGTTACTCACGTAAATATACCTACATATTAATAAAAGCATGATAAAAGGTAGGTACCTACTTATTTCGAGTCAGACCATGCGAGCCTGACCATGAGGAAGAGTCCCTCTGTGACTCCAAACTAGTAGAGCTTTTACATAATAACATCATGCCTTTTATCCCCGAAGGTATAGGCAGAGGTGCACATTACGACACTTAATGCCACTGTTAAATGTAACACCCACTTTCCACTATTTATGTTATAAGTCCCATTTAATAGGGGGAGCCTATTGCCATATACCGGGCAAAATTCCAGGCTTCGTGCTACTACTGAGTATTTAAAAAAACCCAGTAATACTTTGCCCGGCAGTCGCACTTGCGACCACTCGGCCAATGAGGTAGTAGAGCTTTTCTCAGTATATTTACTTAAGTCACTCGTAATTTTTAGTTCATTCACTACGTCTCGCGATAGTTATTATAAAAACGTAGCTATAGAGTTCTCAAGTTGAAGACTACCTCCTTTTATGGAACAATTCCTCAGAGCACTCCCCGTGGTATAAGCGATAGAAAATGCATAACGAGGCTACATCTCTACGCATTGCCAAAGGTTTTTTTTTTGGGACAAGCCCGCCACAACCTCCCAAAACCGCTGCAACTCCTGTAATCCAGGATCTACAGTAGATACAACCATGAACACACCGGAACATTGAAGTCCGGCGCGTCCCAGGGACATGAGTAACGTAAGTCTTGGTTCCCGCAACGAAGTGAATCAGAAGATATTATAAGAGGAGAAGAAGAAAAAACTATAGTTTCCACTTCCCTCGGTGAATTACTGCAGGAGACAGAATGAATTAAGCCTAAAAGCACAAAGAAGAGACTGTACAACTGGGTGAAGCCCAGTCGCCAAGCACCACGGAAATTTGACTAAAAAATTAAGTGGGTCCTATGTGTGAGCTATTTATTGCCAAAGGTTAGCTAACGGGTAACCGGTGCTCCGACTCGACGTGCAGAAGAAGGAACGAGGTGGTTTTTAGTCAGTAAGAGTCTGACACTCCCTCCCGCCTCACCCAGGCGGGAGCAGTCATTCGATGATTTTACACCCTTAAAAAAAAAAATTTAGAGGTTATGGTCCAAAGGAAGAATCTGGTACTGGGGTGCCCCCGCCTAAAGATGAGAACAGTATTCCATGTGGGGCCGCACTGTGCTTTATATAGAAGCAGGTATTTAATTTGATTAATAATAAACTCATGTTACTCTTTAGCGTCCTAGCTTTTATCTGGCGACTTTTATCTCTAGACACAAAATTATTATGATTGCGACGTGTAAAAATGGCAATCAAATTAATATAGGTACTACTGTGTTTATAAAATTAATATTATGTATGTATGATAGAAAGATATATGTATGTATGTGTTCATAAAAATATTGTTTTATCCTATAAAAACCACGGAACCGCCGAGGACTTAATGTCACAGTTCGCGTCGCGACGCGCCCGCGCACGGTCGAGCATAGGTCTCCCCACCTATTACCTCGACAATGTCTGCGAACACGCTAAAATGTGTGAATTGCAATATTGTAATTTGTGAACTTTTATCTTTCATCCAAAATAAAATAGACGTGATGGACAATGAGAGCCTTATTAGGATTTGTGACACCGCCTTCACGGTGGAAGAAGTGGACAGTGCTAAGGAGTTACTGTTTAGTTCAATTAAAACGGATAAGAAGAAAGTGACTAGAAGAAAAGAAGGGAAAAAAGTGAGAGACCTGGAGGATATTATATCTGTCTTCAAAGTGACGGAGCCAGATCTTATACCAATCTTTGTTGCGCGTGACTTGCAAAAACTACCGCCAGTTACATTTGATCATGTGGATGTGACCAAATTATTAAAAGATCTGTTGATGATACGTGGAGAAATCCATGAAATAAAAAGTAAATATGCAACAGTCACTCAACTGGACGAATTGAAACTGGAATTGGAATCAAACATGCCCAGATTATCATTGCTGTCGCGCAATATTAATGCGAAGAAAAGTGGAGGGTATTTGCTTGACAGTGGGCCGGTAGGATTATCACCAGCGGCGCCTGTGTACGGCGACGATAACTCGGTCATGAGTTGTGCGAGTTCGGAGTGCAGGCGCACTGAGTCACCAAAGTATCGGTCTCTCACTTGCGCTCACATTGAGGCGATAAAAACGGGTGCACCTGCACCGATTAACTATACACAAGTGGAAAACGAAATGTTGCCTGAGTCAGATGTTCGTCGTGCAGAAAACTGTCAATTAAAAATGTCTACTATAGCGGAGGTCGCAAGGAATGGTCAATGGAAAACGCCTAAAAAACCAACAAATGAGTGGACTTTAGTGCAAAAGCGGCGGTCAAAAAATCGTTTTACCAGTAAAATGGGCAAAGCGACCACAGAAGTGACGGAGAAATTTAAAGCAGCAGATGTTAAAATTCCTTTGTTTATATCGAACGTAAACAAAGACGTTGCGATAGACGACATATGCAAATATATTAAAAATAAAACTACGGAGACCGTCTCGCTTGAGAAAATAACAATGAAGAGGGTAAAACCATACAATGCCTTTAAACTGCTTGTTAACAGAAACAAACTGGATGTGTTCCTAGATGACCAGATATGGCCCGACGGCGTGACTTTTAGGCGTTTTATTCACTTCAAGAATAGAAGGGAAGTCAAAAATGACTCAATTTTTGGAAGTGAGGCAATTACAAAATCAAATAATGGATAGTATTTCAAAAATGAACATAATAACTTTCAATTGCAAAAATATCAAAAGGTCGGTGAACTGTGTGCATTCACTGTGCAAAACAGCTGATCTTGTTTTGCTGCAAGAAACGTGGCTATACCCACATGATTTAATATTTCTTGATGGTGTACATCACGAATTCAACTACACGGGAAAGTCATCAGTGGACACGTCGGCTGGCATGTGTAAAGGGAGACCCTACGGAGGGCTCGCCATACTGTGGCGTAAAACTGCATTTAGCAACGTGAGTGAGGTGCGAAGTACCAGTGATCGTATATGTGCAGTGAATGTAACAGTGAACAACAGGTGTTTTTTGGTTATAAACATGTATATGCCGACGGATTGTCGTGAAAATCTACCACTTTTTACGGAGTGTCTTAGCGAGATGTATTCTATTATACAAAGTAATAATTCTGAAGCAGTATATGTGCTGGGAGACTTCAACGCGCATCCGGGTGAGTCATTTTGCAATGAACTTATTAGCTTTTGTAGTGAGCAAGAATTATTATGCGCGGACTTTAAATACTTAGGCATTTTATCAGAAACGTACACGTTCATTAGTGACTCGCACGGGTGTAAGCGCTGGCTCGACCACTGTCTTGTCACACAAGCGGCGGAAAAAACAATTGTAAATATTGAGGTTGTTTATGATACGTTTTGGTCAGATCACTTTCCCTTAAAAATAGAATGTGATGTGAATGTTGTTAGATTAAAAACTTGTGTAATTGAATCATCACTTAATGGTGTCCGATGGGGTGAAAGAAGCCCTAATGAAATAAAGGAGTACTCGCATATGTGCAACAGTAAATTGAAAAACATAGATTTTCCTGAAGATTTTGAGTTTTGTGCGGATAATTTTTGTAATGATATCAAGCATAGGTTATTGTTGGATTCGATGTATAAAGACATAGTATCTATATTAAGTAAATCAGCTAGTGTAAACCGAATGTCTAAAGTCATTATTACTAAAAATAAAGTTGTAAAAGGATGGAACAAGCATGTCAAAGATTTTCATACTCGGGCTAGGTCGAAGTTTAAATTGTGGATTTGGTATGGGGAACCCAGTAGTGGGCCTATCTATGAGGACATGATATTAAGTCGTAAAATATTTAAATCAAAATTGAAATGGGTCATTAAGAATCAAGAAAAAATTGCAATGGATATATTGGCCTCACTCCATTCTAAGAAATGTTTCTCGACTTTCTGGAAAGGAACTAAAAAGCTCAATGTCGCTCCTAGCTTACCATTTAGCGTGGAGGGTGAGAGTGACCACACTGGGATAGCTAATATATTTAAACAACAGTTTACTGTCAGCTCACCTCTTGAGTCTGTGGGAAGGGTGATTGATGCTGAGTCTTATCGGTCAGGAGCACCCTTTAAGTTTACGTGTACAGAAATAAAAGCAGCCATTAAATGTATGAAGCGGGGAAAGTCTCCTGGGCATGATGGGCTCAGCATTGAGCATCTTCAAAATGCTGGTGTACACTTGCCAAGAGTATTGACCATGTTTTTAAATCTTTGTGTGGGCCATTCGCACCTTCCACAGGAGATGCTCGATACGTTGGTTGTACCTATTGTAAAAAACCGGACGGGAGACATAGCTGACAAAGGGAACTATAGGCCAATTTCATTGGCAACTGTAATAGCCAAAGTGTTTGACAGTGTGCTTGACGGGCACTTGAGTAACTGTACAAAACTACACGACACACAGTTCGGTTTTCGTGCGGGGCTGTCTACAGAGAGTGCAATATTAGCTTTAAAGCACACTGTCAAGTATTATACGGACAGAGGGACACCAGTGTACGCTTGTTTCCTAGATCTTTCCAAAGCATTCGACCTAGTTTCATATAACGTGTTATGGGAGAAGCTTCGGGGGGCGGGAGTTCCGGCTGCATTGGTGTCAATATTATCTGTCTGGTATGAAAAGCAAAAGAACTTTGTTAAATGGTCCAATGCATTATCAGAGCCATATAAACTGAAATGTGGTGTAAGGCAGGGGGGTCTGACTTCCCCGAGAATATTTAATATATATATGAACAGCTTGCTTGTTGAGCTCAGCAGCACGCATGTCGGTTGTCATTTAGACGGAGTAAATTTAAATAATTTAAGTTACGCAGACGATATGGTGCTGCTGAGCCCCACAATCGGGGGAATAAGAAAGTTACTAACTATATGTGAAAGATACGCTAAACAGCATGGGCTGAAGTATAATCCCACGAAAAGTGAGCTATTGGTATTTAAGGGAAAAAATAAAAGTCCTTCATATGTCCCACACGTAAAACTGAACGGATTACTTCTGAATAGGGTATCACAATTCAAATATCTGGGCCATATTGTGACAGAGGATTTAAAAGATGATCTAGATATGGAAAGGGAGCGCAGGGCGCTGGCTGTTAGGGGAAACATGTTGGCGCGCAGGTTTGCTGGTTGTTCAGCACCGGTTAAAATAACACTTTTTAAGGCGTTTTGTCAAATATTTTACACCAGCAGTCTGTGGGCTAATCATACTCAAAGGGCGGACAGCGCACTGCGCATTCAATATAATAACGCCTTCAGGACGCTGTTGAGGCTTCCACCTTACTGTAGTGCGTCAGGTATGTTCGCGGATGCGCACACTGATGATTATTTCGCGATCATGCGCAAAAAAGTGGCGTCAGTGTTGCGCAGACTGAGGGAGAGCAGCAACGGCGTTCTGAGGGTGTTTGCAGAAAGGCTAGAAGGGCCTACAATAGATAGATTTATCAAGCTGCATGTCAGACGTGGGGCTTGATAATGCTTCTAATAATAATCTGTTCTGTATTTGTATTTGTGTATGTATTATTTTATTATTGTATTTTTGTACTCGTGTGTTACCACTAACATAGTTTTTAAGTTTGTACTGTTTACTAACACTCTATGGGCCGTCGACGCCTGAAAATAAAAGATTTTTATTTTTTTTTTTTTTATTTAATGGGTTGCCGGGGCTCCGGCTCGAAGGGCAGGAGTAGGAACGGGGTGGTTTTTAGTCAGTAAGAGTCTGACACTCCCTCCCGCCTCACCCAGGCGGTAGAAGTCATTCGATGATTTGCCCCCCTTAAAAAAATCCTATAAAAACCAAATACATTAAATGGCTCCCTACAACATACGACTGTAAATCAGAAAAGCTTTTAAATCAGACTTCAACATTCTAAATCAAAGTCTTGCGACAAAATCATAAATTATATTATTAAATATCTACTTCTTGAATGTAATTTCAAACGTTTATTCAGTTGGCAACAGGTTGAATGACCTTTTTAAACTTTACAGTGTTCACACATACCTAATCTAAGAGATAAACTCGACCATTTAATTTAACAAGATTACCTTAAATCTATACTTAATTTTATAATGTCACTTATCTCATTTAATCTCTACCTACTCTATTAATTTTAATCTGCTATTATAATGAAGCTAAATAGTTTAATTATTTAACGAGATCATCTCTAAAAGTATGTGAAAAAATACTCATTTTTATTTTATTTTGTTCACAGTATTAGGTATGAGACGGGCGAATTGAATAAGTAATAATGTAAGTTTTAAGCTAAGGAGGTCATCATATTTCTTAAACATAAGAGTCAAATCATGTTTAGTTAAAAGTTCATACGTATATATATAACTTCATGCCTGTCTCCCATGGGGGTAGGCAGAGACTATGGAACGCCGATTACTACAATTCCTACATACTATTAATAGTTAATTACTTGAATTAATGTGGAGGACTGATACCTTCCCTGGGACTACTAAGAAAACTATAGGAAATTGTGTGTTTTGCGATGTAACAAATATTTTTGGAAAAAAACAGCTCAAGTATAACAGAATATTTCAATCGGTTTAATATAATAATCCCATCAATCTTTATATCCAGACGTGAGATACCTAATCTAATTTACCGACTGCCGGGCAAAAGAACTCGGGTTCAATTCCCGAGTCGGGCAAAGTATTATTGGGTATTAAAAAAAAATCTCAATAGTAGCACAGAGTCCGGAATTGTGCCTTGTATATGGCAATAGGCTCACCCCCTATTACATGGGACTCATAACATAAATAGTGAAAAATGAGTGTTACATTATACAGTGGCATTAAGTGCCGTAATGTGCACCTCTGCCTAACCCTCGGAGGATAAAAGGCGTGATGTTATACCTAACCGACCGATCTTAAGACTAGACCTAAACAAAATAACCACTTGAAGGCAGATACTCTCTTATATCCGTTAACACAATCGTCCAGGAATGTTCTAGATTAAGTTAATACTAGTGTTTTTCTTCTATTGCAAGGGGGTGACGTGAGAGGGGGGGAGTATGGTTCCCATAAAGCACGTCATTAGTACGGCCACCCGCCAGAACGCGATGTAGGAAGTCAACGCTTAGCCGCGGTCCGCTGCTGACGAGTGAAATGGACGTCTGTCATGCGAAAATTAACGGTCGTGACGATAGATACGGTGAGTTCGGTTGTTTTTAGAATAATATGAAGAATAGAAGACGTTTACTTGCTCTACAACAATTATGAGACTGCAATACCTACCTACTGTATATTCTATTTAGATTATTTAAATGATAGAACGTACCTCTATAAGTTGGCTATACTTCGACGTAGGTATTCAGATTCAAAGTTCAAGACCTGTGAACTGAAAAGAATTGAAGATATTCTGGCTGAATTATCATTAAAACTAGCAGCTTTCTTATAGCTTTTGAAACTAACCATAAACTTTAAATCCCTGCTAGACTATTAGAAAATATGGCACTTTTTTTAAGGGGGGAAAATCATCGAATTACTTCTCCTGCCTGGGTGAGGAGGGAGGGAGTGTCAGACTCTTACTGACTAAAACCACCCCGTTCCTACTGCTACCCTTCGAGCCGGAGCCCCGGTAACCCGTTAAGTCTTCCGCGGCTGATGATGAAGATAATGATGATAAAATATGTCAAAACCTCTCGATTCTATATCTGAATCAAGTCCATCAAGCTTAA